GCTTTCCAACTCAAGCAGCATTTCCACTCCAACTTCTTCACTTGCCTTTTGCAGCTTATTTACTCTGAACCCAATTAAAGGACTTGCTATTTATAGGTGGGCTGGGGTCTTTCTGGGAAATTCTGTCTCTGCTTTTACTGCCTCAGCCTGGAGCAGGTCAGCTGGGGCGTGTTGGCTGTTAGTCCTGAGACCAGAAGCAGGTGCTCCTTGTCCTGAATACCCAAGGGCATCTTGCTCTGAAGGTTACTGGTTTCTCTGTATGACTCTGTCATTATTTAATAGTTTTAGCATCAGACAGATTATTTTGCTGCATGACAAGTACTTACTCTTCTCTGGGATTTTGAGTAATTAAAGTCTGTATGGATCTGACATCTTATTTACTGTAGTAGCTCTTATATTCCATATTCACATCTCCAGAGAGGATTGATATAATGCTGCTGTTGTGTATTCCTAAGTAGGAAGCAGCTGCATGGAGTTGGTGCTGGAAACACTTTGCATTCTCTCAGGTTGTTGCTCTCCAACAGAAGTGGAAAAGCTGACAAAACTTTCCCCTTTACAGTAGCTTTAAACTCTCTAAAGGCTGTAATTAGAATTAGCATTTTTTCCGAAGTTCCCTGGTGATTTAAGGTAGTTCTCCTGGGCAGCAGTCATTATTTGGGCTAATAGTCAACAGCCAGCTTTGCAGCAACCAGCACAAGTCAGTGGAGTGAGTTTGGAAGGAAAATATCGAGTGTTCATGTGCTTGTCTACTCCCTCACCACCCTGAGAGTACTGGGGGGGGGGTGTCAGTGTGCTGAGACACAGAGGTTTGGGGATATGTGTTTATAAGACACCTGGGCATTCAGAATGGCTCAGGCACTGTGGGTGATCCAAGGTACAGTGTCCCTTGGATGGACACAGGCGAATAAAGTGAAGCACTTGCAAATCCCCCGCAGGTCCCAGTTTCAGCTGAGTTCCTCCCTGAGCAATTAACCTCAGAGAAAATTACAGTCTGGCAAGGCACCATTGACAAGTTGCCAGGCTTGAGGTGTAGCCAACTGCTCAACTGAGTGTGTGGCATTTATTGCCTGTGGGAAAGGTGAAGTGAAATGAATCCATGGTTGAAACCACTGTGTGTTACTGTATGCCTGCAAAGTACCTGCAAATCCATCCTCTTGTGGACACATTCATAGCTTGGAACATGCTAGTTTTATAATACTGCATTGCAGGTGAAAAAGGCCCTTTTTCACCATGTTTAGTAAAGCTGGGCATAGTCATGGTAATCACAAGGTGGTGAACCTATAACTGGCCCCTCTTTCTCCTGGTTATACCAATGTAAAAATGCTATGTCCTCTTCTACCTGGCCAAATGTACCATAAAATCAGCAGGGCAGACTGCTCAAAGGGCAAATCATTTTGCTTCCCAGTAAACCTTGCAGATATAACCTGTTCCCCAGGCTCCCTTGGCTGTTGAAAGCAACTATTCCACACAGAGCTTGCTGTCTCCTTGCAAATGAAGGAACAAAGCTCACAGGGATAAAACCAGTATTTTCCTTGACAGCTGTTATGATGTACAAAGCCTTGAACACGTGAAGAATGTTTTTATCATCATGCTCGGGAGTTTTCTCTTCCTGAACTTTATTCCCTGCCAGTGCTAGAAGGTGACTGCCACAAGGGCCCAGATTCCCAGTGGCCTTTGACTGCTGCAACACCTCTGAGTCTGCTGGACATCACCAGAGTTCAGAGGCTCTGAAACTGAGGAGAAAAATCTTCCCTTAAAAGCTGATATATCAGTGATGTGAGTGAGATGCCTCAAGGGTCTTAATCATGGAAACCAATCTCACACTGGGTTGAGGTGTGGGAGGGGGCTAGGACAAGGGAATTGGATTTTTGGGGCTCTCAAACCATGACATCCATAGAATCCTTAAAGTTGGAAACAACCTCTAAGATCATCAGGTACAAACATTAATCCACCACTGCCAAGTTCACCACTAAACCATGTCCCCAGGTGCCACATCCACATGCTTTTTGAACACTTCCAATGATTGGATTCAAGTTGATCAACCAGTCTCACTGTATGTGTTTGCAGCTGGGTCTGGACATCTGATGCTTCAAACACTGAGGTATCTTAGGGAGAAAGGGATGGCACAAACAGGCAAAAATTCATGTTGGAAAAGGAAAAATCTTGAGAGAGGAAATGAGAAATGACTCACAATTAGATTGTGGGAACTGCAGGATGCCTGAAATCCTGGCCACACTTGAGTCACTTTGCCATTTATTTCATGAAGGCAGGTGACAGTTACTACAGAACAGGGTGCCAAGCAGAAGTTTCTTATCCTTGCTTATACAACCCTAAAAACTGTCCTTTGCCATAGTCACTGCAGCTGACCTGAAGGAGCAGTTGATACAATTACTGACTGTATTTTTAGCTGATCTTGCATGTGACTCAGTAGAGAGAAATGAGGAAAGACAGTCCCATGGGAATTCCCAGCTCTCCACACACCACTATAGATCACCACAGCTGTGAGAGTCCAAGAGAAAAGACAAAAAGGAGGCATTTCCTCTGCTCAGATGTTTCTGTAATTTAATAAACATCTTAATAACAACAAAAATAGGATAAAAAGAACACTGAGCAGACACAGACCGTGGCTGCAACTGTGTTTTCCTAGAGTACCAAAAGAGCTTTATTTTTCAGCCAGTCCTCCATTTTGGTATTTTCTTGATTAATCTATGAGGTTTTTATAATTTGGGTCATAACTCCATAAAGTTCTATTTTTTGGAGCAGTTGGAATCAGAGGAATGTAAGTGCTTCCTGCACCATAATGTACTACTGGTTCTCCATAGAAAGTGTATACTGAGATAACAGGCAAGAAGTTGGGTACATCCTCATCAAAGGTTCTGAATAGACACTTCTGGCTCAAGAGGAACCTCTTTGTAGCTAACCCACCTGAGATTCATGCAGGTTTAGCACTAGGAGCTGGCTAGGCTACCAAGTAGACCTTCAAGGGTTAATGGCCACGTTGTTTCTAGTAGGTGTAATGAAAAGAAAAAAAAATATGCTCAGGAGAAGAATAAAAGCTTTCACAGTGCAAGGATAATCTGCTGACCCAAGGCACTACTTGTATTGCTCACAAAAGCACCAAAGCCCTTTGGAGTCTTAATCTCCCTGGTTCAGCTCTGGACCACTGACTGCTTTCAGCATGAAGGACTGGGTGCATTTGTGTGTCTGTCTGTTCTGAGAGGCAAGGTGGACATTTTGCAGCAGAAGGATAACAAAAAGCCAAGAGGCAGGCTCTGTCCATGGGACTTTGTACAGATTCAGAGGCATCTTGATTCAAGACCTCACTCAGCAGAGGACTAGACATGTTTAACAACTCTCTGCTACTGCAGTCACTCCAGAAGATAATTAGGACCCACAGAATCCATATTCTGTTTTATCTCACAGTGGAGATAATTTGATTTAATAGGGAACACATTTTCTAAATTAAGATTTGTGATCACCAATGAAAACAGATAGTAAAGTTTTTAGCAGAGACAGAAAGGCATATGTACCCCCCATGTCCTGTTCAAGGGCAGAGAAGTGTCAGAGATTGACCATGGTCTGTGTTTGTCAAAGACATTTGTGCTAGTGTTGGTGGCCAGAAAACCCCAACAAACAAAGTTCACAAATAACCACACTTTCCAGAAATATCACCATGTTCCAGGGGGGCCACCAAGGAGGTGCTCAAGACAGTCTGGATGGGGCTCTGAGCAACCCGGTCTAGTGGAAGGTGTCCCTGCCCATGGCAGAGGGTTGGAACTGCATGATCTTTAAGGTCCCTTCCAACCCGAACCATTCTGTGACTCTGTGATTCTATGAACCTTAATGAACAATTAAAGCTCCTTAACTGATCAAGATACAAGTACAAACCCTTGATCTTCAGCTATTTGTACAGTTACAACATCATACTGTCCAAACAAGTGAAACTGCCCCATACTGGAGTCAGCCTGTGTGGAAAGTGTCACTTTCCACTGTCATCAATTAGGTGATACAAGAAAGAAGAAGATAAAAATGTGACCATCAACCAGAAAGAAGACCACTAACTTCTCCTTATCTCACGCCTGTGGGACAAGTCTTCAAATTGAAGGAAATAATACTAACCCAACCAGGACCCTTCTCCTTTTCTGCAGATACTCAAGATGGAAACTGGAGTAACCCCTGAAGGTGAGTGCAGCCCTGAGATACATCTGTCCATTCAGAATGGAATTGAAGAATTAATTCATCTCTGCTTCTGTTTTACACTGACAATACTGTGTTGAGAGACAGATAGTGTATTCCCCCAGGCATGGTGCCATTCCAAGCCAACTACCTGGCTCCTGAAACTGGAGATTCTTTTCATCTGTCCAACTCAAAGAACTGAAGAAACAAAAACATTGAGGCACCAGCCTGAACCCTCCACGTTAAAGGTCAGTTTTAAGCATTGGTGATGAGCCCTTCAGCTTGGTGTGTTGGCTCATGTTCAGATCTGTGCCCTGCAATAATATCTGTGATCTGTGCTGGAAGAGTCAAATTCTCAAATAGGACAAATTCACTTTTCTTTCAGCAGAACCCATTGAGTTGTACACTGCTAAGGGTTTTGCCAAGCTGATTTGAAGACAGCAATGTCTACTCTCTGCTGTTAGATTGGATACTAAATAGTCTACTAAATGCACTTTGCTGGGAATTCTCACTAACCTGCATCTCCTCCATCTGCTCAGAAGAGAAGGTTGCCCAGGACAACCTTATCTGTAGCATCCTAGCTCAGTTTTGTCAGCACTGACCTTTAAGAGTGATTAAATCTTCTGCACTTCTTGTTCCCATCCCATTCCCTCTACCATGATCATTTCCCATTCCAGGCAAATCATCTCACCTCGAGGTGTCCATTCAGAGCCACCTCTCACCTCAGACACAGCAAACATTTTGCAGAAGGAAAACAGTGAGACAAAGTCTGAACCAACCTGCAACCTCACAGCCAAACAGTCCATAATAAACACAAACCTCACCTGTTTGAGCTTTGTTCCCACCATGGAAGCACTGCTGTCGAGCACAAACACAACGTTCTTGGGCAGAGGAGGGAGATCTGTGGGGGCGAAGTAGTGCACGAAATACCCATTAAGAATCTGTGGAAGAGCAAGGAAGTCGGGAATCAAAGGTAGATCATGATGCAATGTTCCACACACATCATTATGGGATATTTGGCTGGGCACACCTGATCCTGCTTTGGTGGATCTGAGTGCTCCTTGGTATCCCTCTTAATTCTGGTCCCCTGATTATCCAGCCTACTGGAGCACTCCACTTTTCTTACCGTGGTGGACGTAGGGGTTTCCTTCCAAATACAATAAGGATATAACATATGTAGGCAGAGATCAGAACCACAATATGCACTTGGGGAACTGGCCTTGTATCCAGATATATACAGCCTATTTCTACTGAGAAACTGAGAAGCAGATACAAAAAAGAAACTCAATTAAATAGATATCTGTGATTTTTTAGATCCAGCTTGTGGCTGCCGAATGACTGGTTTTATTTTGAGTGGTTCTTACAAGATGGAGAAGTAGCCTTCACTTAGAAAACATTTTCTAGGAATTTGGAGCATGCAAGACAATTGGACTGTCTCAGGTGTAGTTAATAAAACAGAAAAGATGAGTCCTGTATACAGTACCTGAACATCCCCAACACTCAGCTCCCTGTTGACATCATATCTAATTATGAAGTCTCCCAAAATTCCGTTTCGGGCTATCCTGGTTTGCTCGACAACACTGGGATTGAAAGTAACTTTAGCTAAAGTTTTGGTGTGTCCAACTACAGTAGAAGGAGGAGGAGACACATCACCTGTTGAGATAAAATTACAATATTAAAGGTTTTCCCATTGTCTCATAGATGTCAAAGCACAGCACATGTGGTATTGCCATGGAGTCAGGTCAACCAGGACAGTTACATGCTGAGATTAAAGATTCAGCTCACCAGTGATAAAAGAAGAACTTAATAATCTCTCTTCTCTAATTCTAAAGTGAAAACAGCATTGCAGTGCCATCAGGGGTATAAATGTTTAGGCAAAATTCCCGTGCTCAGTTCTGTTTGGAGGTCACTGAACTCAAGGGCCAGACATTTTCTGTATGGCTGTTCATGGCTTTCTGTCAATAACGAACACACAGCTTCGGACACGTATGTGCTGTTCATTCCAGCCAACTCCAGACATCCAGAATGCAGGTCCTACACCTGAGATCCTGCCAGTCAGCACAAGTATGATTCATTTGACCTGCTTAAACATTTCCTCCAGGATTAGATTAATCACGCTGTGGATTTCTCCCTGTTGATTGTAAAGAGTTCTTGAGGTGGCATGTTCAGATGTACTGTGGGCATGTGAGGTGGGATTGATCCGACTGATCCCTTATGTGTAATGTCTACATTTTAACAAGTCATCTTAGCTGCCTTTATGTTCAACAAAAGTTATCATTATAGTTGCTGCAATTTCTCAGACTGAGATAAAATCCAGCACTTGCCAGTGCGGTCACCCAAACTGCATCCCTGAGATGTAACTCTCCCTAATCTCCAAAAACCCTTCCTGAGCCAATGAAAAGGGATGTGCCTGGCAGAGGACATCTCAGACAAAGACAATAATTTAGGGCTGAGTCACCCTGCAGGAAACCTCTCGTCTTGTTAGATGTGTTCATTTTCTAAAACTGAGGGATGTGGAGATTCCTTGTTGTGTCTCTGTGCAGGCAAAATCTCACCTTACTCTCTTTCGGTGTACCAACTGTTCATTCCCTCTGAACTCCATTGTGACCCTTATATGACACTGGCCAAAAGTCAAATTTGGCCCTGAACTTCCCCAGATTTTGAGTTCTTTCCCCCTTAACCCAACTAGGAATTGAAAGCACCAAAATAGATTCTCAGCTGATGTTGTTCTTCGGTGCTTCAGCTCTCACAGTGATTATTCCAACACTCCTCCGAGGCACAGAAGTTCTATTATATCTGCTCATGTGCTGGTTAAATTGGTGGGAATGAGCTGCTTAGTTGTGAGGGGAGGTCTCAAATCTTTGCCAAAGGGGGTCCAGGAAGTCTGTGGTAAGGCAGGGAAAATAAGGGATGGGTGAGAATCAGTTCCAGTTTAGGTGTTCACAATGCAAATACCTACATCTAAGCTTATTTTCTAGGCTCCCACTATGCAAAGATCAGGTAAGTAAAGATCAGGTCAAGAGTGTCAGGGATTAGGGTATGATACATCTGGCCAGCCACATACGTATGCTTTAGGATAATTTTAATTATGTGCTATAGCTCATTAACAATAGTGATCCCAATGACAAGGTACAGGCAGCTCCTCTCCAGGGGTTTCTATAATTCTGTTTACATAATGAGAAGTGCCCTTTGTAAAGGGCTTTGAGCAGCATTAGAGAAAGGCAATGTGACATCTGTATGCAACACTGAACACAACCTCACATCCAGATCCCCACAGTGATTTACAAAATCAGAAATGTGTGATTATGACCATTTAACAAGCAGAAAAATGAGGCATGGGGTGGTTACCTAACTCACCAGACTTCCCACAGGTCGAAGGCCATGGAAATGCCAGGACTAGAGTTCTTGAGGGTTTACAAAATGATTAGTCAAATCTGTGACTTTTACTCTAAAGTTCTATGTACAGTCTAGGCTCCTCTGGGCAAAGGAATGAAAGCAAGATTCATAAATCAATAGCACTCTAAGATGTTACTTCAGTTATGACTTGGCTTTACTTTATGGCTGTTCTGTGAGTGCATTTGAATAGACAAGGCACAAGAGATAGGGAAGGGTTTTATCATAGACTCGATTTTACACAAATAAATTGTAGTTAGAGCACCTGGAATATGAAACAAACTCCTCAAGAAAAGACTTGACCAAGGAGACTGAATGACAGATATTACTTAATTTCAGTGAAGTTAAGAATTGACTCTGCACCATTTCTCTTTCTGTGCCAATTCCAATCCATCCATCCCGATGGAAACAGAGAGAGATACACATCCAATACATTGAAATCACTTAAGGACACTAGTATTGGATCTTAAAGGGGGCTTATAAAATGATTACGAAGAGCTTTGACATTTTTTCTAAAACCTGTGTCCAGTTCAGATTTCTCCTGACACAGAAAAGTCATAAATCAATATCTCTATAAGATTTTACCTCTGTCTTGATTTGATTTTACTTTTATAGCTGCCCTTTCATCTCATAAATCAAGAGATCCAATATGTTTTTAATACACAGTGCATCAGATCTGCTTGTATTGGCCTCCCTGGATTTTCCATCTGTCTCCTATCGCTTCCAAAATCCCATTTAACTACCAGTGTGTGAGAAATGCCCAGACTTCATATAAATGGCTTAACAGTTCATTTATATTTTCTGATCAGAGGGTTTCACGTTATTTCTCCTCAGCTGCTGAAAGGAAAATTTTGTTGTGGGTTAGGCTGCTTGGCTGTATCACGGCAGGGTCAGTGAGAGTCAGTCCCATGCTGGAAACAGAAGCTCCCTTCTCATTCCTACTGCAAATACACATCTGTGGCCTTTGGACAGCTCTTCTGTTTCTCTGCCACAAGTACAATGATGGGTGAGGACAATTTGCTGTGCCACAACAGCATGAGTTCCAGTCTTACCATTTCTATGGACCATCAGAAATTAGATGAGTTTGGTAGCAACTCCATGGCTCAGTTTCCCCTCTGTTAAATAGGCATAATCACATTTATCCAGTGATCACAATTATAATCACGTGTATCCAGTTTTGTAAAGCAATGTGGAATCTGGATGGATCATGTGGATCACATTGCACCCTTTTATTACTCCTTGAAACACTCTGTGGAGGTGATAAATACCATCCCTTGTAATACAGGCAGTGCTTTAGGAATCTTTGGAGAGGAATTTTCCAAGGCTGCCTCATTTAGCCATTGCAAGTGAGAAGACTTGTTGAGGAATCTCTCCCATCTTCTCTTCATATCCACTCATCTCCACCCCCAGGAAAGACATCAAAAAACAAAAAATGGTATGCTAGAAAGAGTCCAAAATATATTTATACATACATATATACATACATAGGTATATGTATATGTACACACACACACACACATACATATAATTTTTTTTTTTCCTGTGTAATAACAGAAATCATGTCTGGAAGGCAAGTTATCTAATTCATCCCATGTTCCCAGACTGAATCCCTTCCTACTTAGTTTTATGTCACGGTCAGGAAACACTCTAGACCTCCAGTAATGGAAACTCAGTGTCTGCCCTTGCCAGTCCATTCCAGAGCTTCACTTTGTTCACTGTTAGACATTTTCAATGTCTAACTTACATTTTTCCTTCTGGATCATAAACCCATGACTTCTTACTGACATAGAAAGCACAATAACCTTTTCCTCCTTGCAGCAGCCTTTTATATATTTGAATACAGTTCTTATGTCTTCCCCCAGGTTTCTTTTTTAAGCAGCACTTGATAGCTGGATCACAAATACTCTCCTCTGTTTTTTGGCCTTGTTCTTCTTAAACAAGTGACAGAGAGAGGAAAATTATGAGATATTTCAGAGTCCAGAGCATGGATGAGCTCCAAAGACTTGAGCTGATCTGTGCTCACACTGAAGTAGTTAGTAGGGCCTCCAGACAAACTTTCCACCAAATTCAGCTAAAGAAATAAGCAGAGCAGGAAAAAACATTTTTCACAGGAAACTGTCGTCCTCACAGGATGAACAGTTAAATCTAAATTATTTTGGAGACTGGTAGGATCAGGATTAGAACTCAAATGCAAAGTTCATTCTCTGCTAACACATGGAAATTTCCAGATAGCTGTGATAAGAAATAAAAACCTTTCTGAGACCTTTAACTTCGGAAAGAAACAGTCATTCTCGAGCAGCCCAGTGTCTCCTGCCCAAGTCCATGACTAGTCCTCCCACTGCTACACTGGAGGAAAAGGATGAGGACAGCATCCCTGAGAATGCTGAGTAGGACATCACTCAGAAAACGGCTCTGTTCTGAGGTCACCAGAGAAGGTCAGGATCATTGGCCTCAATGCCTCCTGTTTTGGGGTCTGTGTGTGACAGAAGACGACACCTACAACATGCCAAAAGATCATTTTCCAAAACTCACATGCCTAATACCTTCCTTTGGGAAAAATACAAATCCCAGATGGAGCCACGTGCGCATGAGTTTCTGTCAAAGGAAATATCCCAGAAAGACCTGTCATCACTTTGTTTTCTCTTCATATTCAGAGAGGACTTATGCAGGATTTTCCAAGAACCTCTGTTAAGAGCAGAGCACAGCTTTACTTTTCATATATCCCTGGAATTCTCTGGAGCCACATCCAATCATTGTATCTTTTGCCCCTAAAACCAAAACCAGGCAGAATTGGGCTATTTTTTTCCACTATGCTTCCTGTATGGTGCATTGGCTCTATGGATAGCTTGTGGAAAGCACCACAGATGTAAGAAGATTGGTCCATGAAATAAAGGCAGATCAGACATTCCTCCACTTTTGGTCACCTAAACAATTGTTATTACTTTTTCATTAGTTTTTCTAACAACACTTATGGCCACAACAAGTTGTCATTTCAGTTATGAACATCCATCACTGCTGGTGCTCATCATTTGATGAGTCCAAAGCCAAACTTATTTGATTTTTAACTTTATTTGCCTATCCTACACTGGATCCTCAGGACCTGTACTCAGAACCAGCATAATAAAAAGCATTTCTTACCCAGGTCAGTCAGAGTCAAATGTTCCTAAATGACTTGGGAAAGCTACATCCCATCCTGAATAGTGGCTTCACATTGGTTTGAACATATTACTCAAAACATCATTTAACTGATGGCTGATGGCTCAATACATTTTTCACCCAATACTCTCAAGGTAATTTATTAATACTTATCAAAATCTCATATTTTATCGTTAACTGTGAGATAAGAGAGACATGTTTGTAGACATAGGAAATTGAGGAAGAGAGTTTTCATGACATATTCAAACTCAAACCAGTCAGGCAGTACCATTTTCCAATGTTCAGGCCTCCATTCCTTATTTGCCCTTTTTTTTTTTAAGTCACAGCCTCTAAATTTGGGCACCACAGGTAACACAGCACAGCAGCTTTTGATGTGGCATCTTTTGCTGGCCACCTACTTATCAGATTGCTTCCATGCTCTCCAATCAAGGGGCACAGAACTTTTTTAAGCCGCAGGAATTCAAGAAGAGACCAGACGATGTCTTTTTCCTCATTTACTGGCAGTTTGCAGCCTGTCTGCCAAGCAGCCACTCTTTAAATGTAAGACCTGCAGTTCACCTTTATGCAATTTGTCTTTCCCTTCAGAACCCACAGCCTTCCCTGGAGGTCTCACTGGATGAACACCTTTAGGTGCCGCAGGAGCCAGGAGGATTTGCAGGGAGGATCTAATGACTCAGGTGGTTTGCTTTTTTGATCCAGCTTGAGAGATGACAGCTGGCTGGAATACAGTGGGTTTCCAAGTAAAATGCTTCTTGCCTTGGCCTTGCCCTCCCTGAGTGTGTTCTTGTGGTTTCCATTTGTGTTCAGAAAGAAAGGAAGTTCCTGTTGTCTGCTCCAAGTGCGATTGAGCTTGTTGGCCAGAAGACATCACAAGCAATAAATCCCTCCTATCCAAAACAATCTATCCTTCTCTGTGACCTATATGAGACCCTTCTGACATCCTCTGCCAATTCTTTTTTCGGTCTGGCTGCTGGTAACCCTGTACACTCTGACTGGCACTCCCTGAGCACTGGTGAAGGCTTGAGCTGGCAGACACACAACCCACTCCTGACTGCCCATGGTGGATCCCAAAAAAATGCTTTCAGCATTTCAATGGCTTCTATAGCAGCGATTTCACCAACAGCTCAGGGTGATTCTAGACAGAAAGGACCTGTAATTGAAATCTGAGCACGGATAAAGCACAGGGAATCTCAGCTTCAGCTGCATTGCCCATCCTGCAATGGGACATGTATTTTACATACCTTTTACTGGCTAGGGAGAATCCTAGAGCTTGGGCCCATTTTTGTATGAGCTGTTTGAAATCTGAACACAGTGCCAAGAAGGATCAGTGCTCCCAGATTGCCATTTGGACAGCAGGTTACATGAGTTTTCCCTGTACGTCATTTCCATACAGGAATTTCCATACAGCACTGGACCAACAGCGTGTCTGCTCTGTTTAGTTCTGTCTCTAACCTTGATCAGTGCCAGATGTTTTGCAGGAAACCACATTCCACAGTGCAGTCTGATATTCCCTGATAGGTGAAAAAGGCTCCCTGCCCCTCCTGATGAGGAGCAGGGCACATTCATCACACGGCACGTGGATGTACGACACAGAGGTTAATTGAGGCTTGACCTGAAGTCAGTCCAAGTCACTGAGAGCCTTGATTTCAATGTGATTTGGATTAAATCAGTAGGTTCCCACTGAGCAGCCAGTTTAACTCCAGTTCATATGCTTTAGAATCCTCACCTGGCAGACATGAACAGCTCCTCTGATTTTGCTGGTGCTGCATCACTTGGAGTAACTGAGGATCAAGGCCAACAACACTCTACATCCTGCTTCCAGACTCACTCTCTTGTTTTGGTGGTTTTTGTCAACACGTAGCAATCACAGTATCCTGTGCCCCTCACTGTTGGTTTACACCAGAAAAATTACCTTTACACTGTCTGAACAGTGAGCAAGGACAGTTGGGGGTAATAGGAGATACTCAGATCACCCTGAGTGCTTTGGCAAAACATGGATTTTCCTCTTGGAACTTCCCATATTCTAAAGTGCAGGATTTCCTATCTGCCTTGGCATGGATGGATGGAAAAAACAATTCACTTAAAATAAACAGTTCCCAGGAGATGTGGAGCCAGAGAAGGGACTGCCCCAATGCTGAGCACAAGGCCTGAAGGCCCAGTTCAAAGCTCTTAAAAGACAATAGCAAAAAAAAAAAGTCCTATTGAGATGAATGGGATCAGCCCTGTATTCATTAAGCTTCAAAGTTCTCACATGCTTGTGCAGAGATACCACACAGACACAATCATCCACAGAAAATAGATTCAGCTCTGCCAGGCCACTCCTTGCGAAGTGATTAGGGCCCCACAAGTAACAAAACTATGGGCTACAAAATCTCTCCTTACCTTCAGCTTTCCCATTGCCTTTCTGCTTGCTGTTTCGGAGGGGAGGCACTTCCAGTGACACTATTCCTGAGTTCTCCAGGATGTTCACCTCCACTCGCAACCTCCCCACCAGCTGCTGGGGCCGGATGCTCACCGTGTACTCGTATTTTCCCAGTCTTCTTTGCAAAAGTTCTTCATAGTGCAGTACAAACCTGGCCTGCATCTTGCGAGGAATGAAGACAGAAGCTCTGAATGTCTCGTAGCCGTTCTCCCTGGAAGGAAAATCCAAAGACACCTTCACAGCCCATACATGTGACACGTTACCTCCTCCAGTGAATGACGAATCTGGATTTTGTTGGTTCAATAAAAGTATTTCCTGTCAGTGAACATGTGAAACCACCAAGAAAGAAAACACTGCAATGCTTCAAAAAGATTTGGGCACGTAGGAGGCTTCCACAGATGGAAAGGTCTTAAAAGACAAGATGACTTCTTATGGGGAGGAATATGACTGATATGTATGACAGGTAGAAAGGCCAGAGGAAAGGTTGTCTCTTTCACAGAATATCTGAGTTGGAAGGGATGCACAAGGATCATCAAGTCCAGCTCTTAAGCGCATTCACCTCCCATGCAGGGATCAAATCCACAACGTTGGTGTTATTATCACTATGCTCTAACCAACTGAGATTGGCAAGACCTATATTTCATAGAATTACAGAATATTTTGAGTGGGAAGGGAACTTTAAAAATCATCTAGTTCAACCCTCCTGCAATGAGTAGGAACATCTTCAAGCAGATCACACTGCTCATAGTTCCATCCAACCTGTCCTTGACTGTTTCCAGGGATGGGGCATCCACCACCTCTCTGGGAAACCTGTTTTTTTAATGTATTAATGCATTTAATTCTTGACTTCGCCACTGCTGACACACTGCCATTAAGATAGCAAAGTATAAATTAATCCTTCTTCCCTGATATTGTGGTTTATAGCTACAAACTCAATGGGGAGAAATAGGACCCTTAAGAAAATTCCAGCAGTGGACATTTCTCTAAAAGAATTCTTCCAGCTGACCAGAGTGTGCCAGCAAGTCTCCCAGCATAAAACTGTCATCTTTCTGTTCTTTAGTGGTGCAACCATGACTGGTAGTAATTGCCTATACAAGAGGGTGCAACACAAGAGAAATCTAGTGTTTACTCTTCTCTCTTTCAGGTTCTGCCAGTCTGCATCTGCATACTGAGACAGCATCCTTTGGTAAAGGTTCAGGACAGATTTTTCCTACCACAAATTTGTCTAGTCACTCTTTGAACCCATATCAAATTTAGCATCTACAATTTCCAGTTGCGAGAAACACAATTTATGGGAGGAATACTTTAATTTGTATGGTTTAAACCTGCCATCCACTCAATTGAATTTCTCTAGTTTTTCTATGGAAGAGAGAAAATAAAGACTCCTTAATTTTTTTTTTTCTACATGTTACTCATTAGTAACAGATCTCTCTCTCCCTCTCTACAGCTAAACATTTTTCTGGTCTGGATCACTAAAGGGATGGGGTTTTCTACCAGTGCTTGGCTGAGAGGACTAAACACAGTCAAGAACTGAGAACAGGGCAAGTAAACACGACTGCAAAGGGCTTCCTGTGGTTCTACCACTGACTAACTTCATGGTATTGAAATTGTAACTCATGGAATTTCTGTGTGCTCCCTCCTGCTTAAGCCATAACCACCAGTAGGGATTGCAATGGCCACATCCAGCTTATTCTGGGTTTTGGGGGATGGATGGCAACAGTTTGGCAAGGGCTGTCTGTAACAGTGACCCAGATGTCTTACTGGAATGTAAATATCACTAACTTATTTTATAATTAGTGGGCAGCCCAGGGCCTGTTGAGCTCTCCTGAGCACCAGGATATCCCCCTGGGTAGGAGAGACCTCCTAAGGTTACTCCTCAAGGCTGAGAGTACCCTTGCTGCAAGAGATTCTTGGTAAGTGATGAATTGCATCCCAAACTTTGAAATCTTAAGTGCTGTAAAGGACTGATTGCACATTTATAATCCTTTAGACATAAATCACTGACCAAGTCTGGGACTAGGAGTGGATCCAGCCACACCTGGGCTCCTCTCTGAGAAGGAGTTCAGAAAGAAAAGGAGTTCTTTCTGAACTTCATGGTTCAATGGGAGGATGTCCCTGACAGTTCTGTCTGACCCTGCTCTCTATGCAGTAAATAATCAAGTGTACCGTGCCACTGAATCTTGTTGAACCACTGTCACATTTATCACTGAACTTTGTTAACTTACTGCTTTATGTAAATAAAGTGCATTGTTGCTTCTATCTTGAAGCAAAGCGGGTGACTCCATCCACGACAGCACCTTCATTTTCCTGCCTGCTATTCAGGAAGTAACAAGAAATCTTTCCCTCAGTAGAACATCCTGAAGCATCCTGGAGGTGAAAATGTTGTGTGACAGGGTGAGAAAAGGCCACGTGCAGTTTTACATGACTTGGAGTGTGGGAATGACAGCAGGCGGTGCAGATAACATTCTGTTTAGCTGCCTCTCCCTATAAATCCATGCATGGGGATGCCAAAGCAGCCAAGACAGAGATGGCAGGAGAGTATATAACTTTCCAGAACACAGCCAAATGCACAACACTTACCTTCCATCTGTGGGGCTGGAAGGTTTCTTATCCCTTGTTTTGTCATCACTGCTGTTTTTCTTTTCTTTCCCTGTGACCTCTCCGTAGTAAGTCTTGTTGCCGATGCTCCTGGAGAGACCAGAGGTGTCAGCATGATCACTCTGCACCCATGTACAGTGACAGCTCCACAGATTGCTGTAGATGAGTTCACAGACTGTGCACAGTGAACAGTCTAAGTGTGCTGCTGGTGTAACTCTCCTGGAGTCACTCGAGTCGCTGAGTCAGAAGCTGACTTAGAAGTTCCCTGGCTGGTAATACCAGCACAGTACATTTTTAGCCCAGGAGTTTACCTCTCTAAAATGCCAGTCTGGTAGGTAATCTCTGAAGCGTAAGGATGGAGCAGAAAGCAAAACAATTGCCAAGAATCCCAACAAGAACTTTTTATGTCTGTTCTGGGATCCACCATCTGTGTGAAGGCACATGGAGATATTCAGGATGGCTACTCTCAAGAAGCTGCCTCCCTGACTAAGTGTTTCTCCCTTGCAATGAGTTACAGAGCAATGCAGTCCACAAAGAAACAACCCTTAACATATATTTTGTGTGACCAACAGCAAAAGTCTGTTATTCCTCCTACTCAGTCCAAAAGCCTCTCTAAAAGAATGTCTCCTATCTGCTATGGTCAGATCTGAAGCTGTGGCTTCAATATCTACCCACAGAGAGGATCTGAGCATGACCAAACTAAACACATTTTTGATACAAGAGCTTAATTTATTCCTTAATAAGTCATTTCAGTATGAGCTTGGTTGCCCTCTACATGACTTATTATCCACCGAGAATTCCTGGCACCTCCAGCAGCCGATGAACCTGTTTGATGGTTGGGGTTGATTCCTGCTCCACTGACACTGTAGAGTAACAAGAACAATGGAACAAGAAGTTTCTGAGGCACCAGAGTCAGTCAGGTAAGATAAACATCGTGTGCCAGTGTTGCTGAAACTTTAGCTTGAAAGGTTTCTGTGGTCTTGGAGAGATTTTTCTGGTTCAGATCAGAGACAGAGGAGGAGAAGGAAGCTGTTAAAAGACACTCAGATGGGAAATAGAATAGTTTCCTTCCACATTTACACTGAGGACTTGAATTTAGTATCCTGTAATCCAAGGGACTTACTCTGTGCTTTGGGGCCATGCCCAATCTCAGGTGGAGTGTAAAGTGTGTGTGTGTGTTTCTATTTTCCCCAAAGAAATGCAAAAAGGCCTTGATACAGTCCTGCTGAAGACTTGCTAGCTTTGGAAATCCCAGAGAACCACCTGTGGGATGGGAGAACCATTGCCCACCCAGCTGCCAGCATTACTTACTCACATGGTAAAGTTGGAGATGAAGGCTGCAGCTGGGATCTGCATCTCAAACACGGCTTCCCGTGCCTCGGATCCGCTGTTCACCATCGTGCAGGACACCGTGGTGAAGGCATAGCGGGAAATGATTGTGGATCTCACGTTGAACTCAGACATCCGAGGCCTGGTTTCCTGTGGGGATCAAAAGGTTAGCACTGGCAGCTGGATAACACACCCCTTCAGTGTTTCAATGGATTTAACGCTTAATATGCTCAAGCAAATTCCCGCCCTTTGAGTATCAGACACCTCTGCCAAAACCAGTTGAGAACAGGCAAGGTGGGCTTGCCCTCAGCATTTCAGATGAGCTTTGAAAGGTAAACCAGGGACATGGCACTGCCTTTGTTCATGCACAGAGGCCACAGTCGTTCTCCAAAGCTTGGGAAGATTCTGAGAGCTCTGATTATGCCAGCCTGTATGTTGTGAAACACACTGATAAAATCCATCTGTGTCCTAAACTGCAGCTTTCAACTCTGACTGTGTGAGAGGAATAGGATTAGTCCCTTACGGCCTGGGAAGAAAAGACCAAAATATATTCCCACGGGGTCCAGAACTGTGTCACAGAACCTGACCTCTGTAGTGTGCACAAGAGCAGATGGAAGGTTTCCTGAAAGGCTGAGATCACTGTGTGTGAAGCAGCATCTTCAAATTCATACAGTCAGATCCATAAGTTGTGTAAGCAGAAAAACTGCTGTCAGTGGAGTCAACCGAGTCCTCCTCTGCTGAGAATCCATGCTGGAAGTCTCAGCCAATAGATGGAAGAGACTTAATAAAAAACACTGACACTGTGACATCTCAAGCAAAGTATTTTAAGCTTTTTAGCCCACACTGGATTTCTTCCAGCAGAGAAGCAGCAGAGACAGCAATGAATGACACACGATGTAGCAATGGAAGCTAAAAGCCAATTTCTGCTTCTTGGGAATGTGTTTTCGTGCACAAGTCTAGGGTTGGAGCATTTCTCCAGTCTAATGTGTTTTTTCTGACAGCAACATCTCCATGGAGCTCAAATGTTTTCTTCCTGGAAGACTTCAGTGTATTTAACTGTAAGCAGCCCTTACAAAAAAAACCCTGTGCGTTGACTTAAACAATCAAAGACCAAACCTCCAAAAGCAGAAGGGAGCTAAAGGGTAAAATACGCTGCAAATACAGAGGAACTTCAATTAGCCAAATACAGAGAGACTCTTCCTACTGAGGTTGATAAAAAGTCATAGTCACGTAAGACTCGTGAGGACAAGAACGTGCTCTTCAGCTGCATGGCCAGACCTTTTTTCAGAACAAAAATAATTTTGGCAAATGGCTCAAGAAAGGGAGCAAGTGTTTGTATGAGTATGAAACAAGCACATTTCTTCAGTAGCTGATGGCATCAGAAGTGATTGAGCATCCAATTAACCAAGCTGCCAGGCTAGTGAATTCCAGGCAAATGGAAGAATGAGGATCCACTGGAAACAAACACAAAACTACCAGCAGACTTGGCATAAAGCCCCTTCTGCCTACACTTTCAAGGCTTGGAAAGACTGAAAAACTTGTCTCAGATGAACCCAATCATGATGGATATCTTTAACAGCTGGAGAATATGTGATGAGCTCTGTGTCCATGATCATCCTGCTCAGTTCACATGGAGCACATAGACAAGAGATTAGGACTTCCAGGGTGGGATTTGTCTCACTGATTTCAGGCAGCTCAGTGTGATGCATTTAGACTGGAACACCCCTGCTCAGATCTAATGTCCCACCCTCAGGCCATTGGTGGCTTTTACTCAATTGCTGATGATTAGAACTAGATCCTGCTGTTCTTAGGACGTTCCCTGATGTTATAGGCATGTCTTTCCACCCTCATTATCCTGAAGCTGGAGAGGATGGGGAGTTTTGATTGGAAGTAGGCTTGTAGGAATGTTTTCACATACAATGAGGGGATGCTTCATTCAGTCTTCTACACCCCTAATTGCCTGTGGCATAGCAAGAGATACAGAGGATTTAATAACAGTAGAAATAGGAAGAATCTGAAAGTACAGCAAATTCTTTGGTTTCAGACCTTCTGCATCCACTCCTGTGTGCTGCTGTCAGTCATAAGCTGTGGGTTCAGACATGGATGACAGCTCAGCAGCAAAAGAAGATCAAGACCTTTGCCTTTCACTTGAGATACAAGGGGTTCTGCAGTGACATGTTTGACACTGTGAATGCACTCAAACTGCAGAAAGTCTTTTGAATGTGGCAGAGAACATGAACTTGCCCTTGTTATGACAACAGCACGAGAATGGTTCTGTTGGGTGAGAACAAAAGCAGTTCTAACCCTGTAGCCTGTCACTGGCAGAGACCAAGAGTATGTGCTTAGAGTATAAAATCAGCTCAACCTGCACTAATTCTACTCAGAAATATTCTCTCTGTTTTCAGTAATCTGTGGCTGAAGGAACTCCTGAGTCAAGGGTGATATTTTTGTGCTTTATAAACCTTTGTGGATTTATTTTCTATTATTTTACACAGCTGCTTTTTCAATCCATGTAAAATTTTAGCATCTGCAACATCTTGTAGCAAGGAGTTCCACAGCTTAAGAATATTTTATATGAAAACCCACATCATTTAGGGTTTTTTTTGCTAAATCTACTCTTTGCTGGCTTCAGCTGATCTCTGTCATAGAATCACAGAATGGTTAGAGTTGGAAGGGACCTCAAAGACCATCTTATTCCAACCCCCCTGCCATGGGCACGGGCACCTTCCACTAGACCAGGCTGCTCAAAGCCCCATCCAGCCTGGCCTTGAACTCTTCCAGGGATGGGGCATGTCTCTATCCCACTGAACAACTCCAGTTCTGACACCCTCACAGACTGAGGAATGGCAAAAACAAATGAAATGAACACCCTTCCCTTTTCCTGGTGGACAGGAGTTGCTGTTAGAGGGATCAAATGCTGAATAAGGGCATCACATACAACTGAGGATGAGAGATCTGGTTCATCTTCCCATCCCTGCAAGGGATCTGCTATTCCTTGTATATAGAGAATATAAACGGTGGGGGCAGAGGCAGCTTCCAAACAGGTTGCTCAGTCAGGCTTGGCGGGCAGCCCAAGTTCCACTCTGTGATTCCTGTGCATTCCCTGGAGCTCTTGCACAATCCATCAGTGCCTGATGCTCTGACTTACAGCTGTGCAAATGCCTGTTTGTTTTCTGCCCTTTTTATCGAGGCCTTCAGAAGATGAGAGGCAGCACAAAGGAAAAAAAAAAAAGCAAAACAAACCATTTGTTTAATATTATTATTACTGTGATTTATCATCCCTATTAAAAACAAAGTGAGGGAATGCCAAGGCAGCAGATTCACTGCTATGAGGCAGGTTGGCTGGATGCTTTATGGAGGTGTCCTGGTTATTATGATGAACTGGGAGCTGAAATTTTTTTGCCAAACAAATTGTTTTATGCTTGTTTACATCAAATGTTTGGAAAGACAGAAAAGAGCTGAAGATAAATGAAACCCATTCCATAATTTTGCCTTTATCAGTTGCTTTCATCAAAACAAACTGCCCGTGTCTCAGATTAGAAGTAATAAACTGGTAATAAGTCTGAGAGGTGTTTTCCTCTAGGCTGCTGATTCTAATCTGTCAAAGATCAAAGGCACTAGAAGCTATTAAGGTGATGGTTGTTCAGTGTGAAATGAGTTTCACCAGTTCTCAACTGGGAGGTCCCCAGAAAAGCCAGAAAAATAACTGGCTGTGAACAGCAATTCCACTGACTGCCTAACTACAGCTAACTCTTAGATTCCCATGCTGAAAGAAGGATATTGGCTTCCTTGTTTTCTTCCTTTCCTCAATAGATTTTGACGAACAGCAGAGATCTCCAAATTTCAAAGCAAACTCTGCCTTTCTCTCGAAATTCGGTGAGATTTCATCAGGCTTTTGTTCAGTGTGTGGTTAAGGTTTGTAACATTAGATGTTCTTTCTCCAAGTGTGAGGGTGAAAAGACGGATTGGGAAGCATTAGAAGAACCTGTACCTGTTGCATTGATCAAAATGAAAAGATTTCTTTTGCCTCTTAGAATCTCATTCTACCGATTCTACCGTCACCCGCTGACATCCTGGGCACAGGGATGCACACACAGACACATACAGGGAAAGTGTGATTGCCCTGAGGTAAAATAAAGACAGGGTGTGATACGTACCAGCCTCTGCAGGAATTTGGCCTGTCTTGGGACACGGCGAGCGACCTGCAAAGAGTTAAGGGAGTTAGTGGAGCCTTCTCAGCTTACAGTAGACATGGCACTTGTTTGAACCCAGACACGGGGGTGTGCAACTGATCACCCATGGCCAGGTTCAAATGCTCCTCTGGTTAAAATTAAAACCTGAGCCTCTTCCACATTAACAGACCCATTGATCAAAGCTCAAGCAGTGGAATGCAGCTCTCTCAGGCAAGGAGGTATGGGGTGTTTTGAAAATGGTACTTGGCAAGAGACCTCCTTTATGTGATGACAGGAACCTCAGCCTTTAGCCCTGGCCCTGGGTGATGTGTCTCAGCTCTGGAAGTGTATTCCCTTATGGCTTCCTATGGAGTCACACAAAGCCTCTGTGTCTTTGCCCCTTTGCATGGTATATGGCACACTTCAATTCCTGGAAGTATTGAAAGCCAGGTTGGATGGGGCTCTGAGCAACCTGCTTCAGGAGAAGGTGTCCCTGCCCATGGGAAGGGTTTGGAACTAGATGACCTTTAAGGTCCCTTCCAACCCAAATCATTCCACGATTCTATGATTAGTTTAAATTAATATTAAAGCTTCAGGTCTATTAATATTACCTCAAGAGCAGATCTGTTGCCTTAATACTCTCCACAGGTGCTGTGGATTTATTATGCAGTGACAGAAAAGCACTCTTTATGTGCAAAAAGGGAATAAAGATATTTAAACTGAGACACAGACCTTATTATAAAATGAAGTACTTCACTTATGACAGTACAATCATATCACTGCATCACCCTCCACAACTCCTCTGACTTCCCTGCACATGGTGTCTCAGCTCAGCAACATCTCCAAATCAAATCTCTCCCCAAAGCAGAGAGTACAAGTCTCTTGTCAACGAGGGAAGCCAAGGACCTTCTTAAAATGTCAGTGGAACTCCAGAGAGCAGAGGAATGCGATGATATCTTTTTACCTGATTTGCCCTTTCTGTTGATTTACACTGAAATAACATCAGCCCTTGCCAAAGAGATGATTTTATGTCTGTTTATATCATGCCTTGAAAAGCTCAGGAAAGCCCAGTGGGGAAATTAAAGCCTCATCCACTAGAATCCTTATTATTTCCTGCTGCATTATTTAAGCCAACATCTTGTAAAATTAGAACCAAGGGAAAACAGCTCCCTTGGGAAATTGTCAATGGAGAGGAGAATTATCTGCACTTTAAATTTTGGAATAAACTTTCTGTCTGGGTCTGTTATATCAGGGAAGTAAAGCCCCTCAGGAGCCTACTGTGCCAGGCTGCAGAGTCTCCATCACTGTAGGTTCTTCAGAACAAGCCAGATAAATGTCTGTGAAGTTGGTCCTGCTTGGAGCAGGGGCAGGGATGGAGAACCAATAGTCCTCAGTACTCTTTTACTAAAGGTTTACCTTTTGAAACAAATCCACCTTGTTCTGCATGGTATGGTCACAGTAATATTTAATAACTAATTGGTGAAACTGGAACCTTGGTTACTGGTTTTATCTTTGCCCACCACACACCCACCAGAACCTTAGTTACTGGTTTTATCTTTGCCCACCCACATGTTTGCTTGCTTATTTGCACAAGAAGGCTTTGTATGACTTGGCCCCTTCAAGAGGTACCTTCTTGGGGATAACAAATGGACATCAGTGAGGAGCTAAAGAGCCCCAGATAGCAGTATCCTGTTTGGATAGGGCTTCATGACTGCTGCCAAAGCACTGGTGCAGGGTTTATGATCAGTCCATCGGACTGTGCTAATCAGGCAGCTTCACTAACACCATCTAACTGGAACAATTTCCCAATTACCATCAACCTTTAGCTTTACAGCCTTCCAAAACATTCATTAAAGACAAGTAATTGCTGGTAGTGACCCCATAACTTGTTGCCATCTGCTAGTCCTAGCATAGAATATGTAATACAAGCTGTGCAATGGATTTGTTTATAGTGTAGTATCTTGACCTAGGGGAATACCTGCCTCTTCTTAATCTGGCTCAGGTGTTCAGTGAAGACAGACAGATGCCTTCTTCTAGACCTGGCTGTCTCAGGGGACTAGATCACCACTATCACTGCTGTTCTGGTGGGAGTTACTGCTGCCCTTGCTCTGCCAGCAACATAGCTCCTGCGAAAACAAGAAGCCTCAAGCAACATTAGCCACTTTATTTCAACACTGTGAGCCAGTCGTTGAGCTTTGCAACTGATTTTCCCCCTAAAGCAGGTATATGAGTGTTTCCAGGTCCCACTCCACTGGCAGCACACTGGTGGAGATATTCTCTCCCACTTGGATGGGTGGGTCTGTAAGACAATGTTGGTTTGTGGCTGAATTCCCCAAAAAGGAATATGTGTTCATAGTAATCAGGATTTACAATAAAGTTGCTCAGGTCCTCGTAGTGGAGAGAGCTGAACATTTCTGGGGAGAGATTCTTCCCATTCCAGGTGGGATGAGCAACTGAATAACCAGCTCTCAGACAGGTACAGGTATACATATGGAAAGTCTCACTCTTCCCACTTTTCCCTACTGCATGGCAGAAGATGCCAAATACAGGGAAATACTGACACTTTAAACACACTGGAGTATCCCACCTGACCTCCAGCAAGGCACAGGTATTCCACAGGTCCTGTCAGACCCACATGGGTGTCTCAGATGATACAGAGCCTCTCTCAGATCTGATCAAATTTGGATAACAGATTGATGCCTTAAGTGACCCAAAGTCACGACTGGTATCTGTTACAGACCTGAAGGATGTGAACACAGACCTGAAGCTCAGCCTTTTATAGAATCATAGAATGATTTGTATTGGAAGGGACCTTAAATGTCATCTAGTTCCAAGCCACCTACTATGGGCAGGGACACCTTCCACTAGAAATGGATCACAGCCTCCCAAACCACCACCCAAACTCTCTTGCTAACTTGCAAAAAGTTCATTGCCCTTTCAGCACCATTTCCTCAGAAAATCTAAGCCACAGAATAACACAACACAACAGCCCTCACTTGCAGAATAATGGATTTGTTTTCATTGTCAATAAGCATTTTAGAAGCTGAAATTTGTACGATTTGTTTCATCCAGCGTGAGTTAAAAATCCAGTACAGTAAAACCATAGGCAGAAAAACTTTCCTTCGAGCCTGAAATACTCTGAATTACTCAGACTGGCGTGTGGCCAGGACACTGCGTTAACTCCCTTGTCCCTGTGAAATGCCTCATTAGCACAGCCGTGGGGATGTCGGAGTGAGCCCATCCCCTGGCTGTGGCACCCACTGCGGGAGGGTGATCTCCTGGCTTAGCACCTCCAGCACCTCCGACGACTTCTATGCTCCTTAAGAGCAGCTTCCCATGGAGCTGACCCGCAGGGACAGGTGGAATAAATGTGTTTTTATCAGACTGCCCTACATCTCGACGCTGATGGTTAAGAAGGGACAAGCCAAGCCCCGGCCCCCTGCTGCTCCCGAACAACCACCGCCTTAAAACCTACCTGCTCCACGATGCTGGAGTCTGCCAGCAGCTGCTCCTCCAGATACCTGGCCATCAGCTCCGAGTCGGGCTGCCCCGCCGAGGTGGGGAAGCCCCAGCAGAGCCACAGCCAAAGGATCATGTTGGAGGGGAGCGCCGGGGGGCTCCTGCCCCGCAGGTGAGAGGAGAAGCCCCGCTGCCGCCGCTGCTGCGCTGCCGGACCGGTTGCGGGGAGGCTGACAGGACACAACGACCCACCCTCTTCTCCTCCTTCCCGGCTCGGGACCGGCCCCTTTTCCACTTAGGGCGCTGCAGGGAATCCTTTCAGGGTTTCTATCCCTCATCCAGAGGTCCTGTGGGAAGGAGGCATCGCCGTGCCCGTCTCGATGCCGCTCTCACCCATCTTGCCCCATGCAGCGGAAAGGGGAGATGCTGGGGCTCCCTGAGGTGCTGCCACTTGTCATTTTGGCACCAGCAGCACCCCGTGGTGGCCCTCAGCAAGGGGAAGGCTGAGGGGACATTTCCTGCACCTGGCTGGGTGCTGAGGAAGGGACAAGGTGGTGCCCAGTGCCTCCAACCCACCCCGTTAGGGAGTACAACCACAGGATGTGCTTCAAGGCTGGGGCTTTCCCAAGGGGTGGCAAAACCCTCTATGAAGGAAAAGCTTCTCCTACTCCCCGTCTGAAGAGCGCTGGTTGGTTCAGGAAAGCTGCTCCAAGGGCAGGGCAGAGCCCTCTCCACACCCTCACCCTGGCACCCTACTGGGTATCCAGGTGCCTCCCCTTGGGAAAGATGGCCAAGAGCCCTATGTTCGCCCCTCTTTCTTTCCTATGCGAACTCCATTTCTCAGCTGAGCAAAGCTGGGGTGCTTTTTCAGGTCCTGCTCTTCTTCTCTCCATTTCCCAGAGCCTTTTTCTCTCAGACCAACCCTGGGGTGAAGGTGGAACCTGCAGGGGAGGCTGGGTTCCACCTGGCAGCTGCCAGGGACACTCCTGCCAGCTGGCACTGACTGGGCACTGTGTCATCCCCAGGCATTTAGAAACTTGTATCTGCAGCATCCACCTCACCCTAAATTTGCTACTTTGTTTATCTATGCCAGCAGTAACTTCTCAAATCCAGCAGAACCAAATTTCCTCTCTTTTGGTTTGATTGCCTTTTTTTTTATTATTTTATATTTGGCAGGTGCAAGGTACTGCACGCAGAAACCTGGCATGACTTAACCACTGTATTTTCTTTTTCCTTTCCAGCTCTGACTCATCAGGGACTGGAGCTGTTGTGGTTCATCTCCCAGCCATGGCAGTGACAGTCCAATGAGTGGCTCAATGTCTCTATGGCCCTGCTGTCCTCCAAATCTAGCATGTGTTTTGGAGGAGTAGGAATGTGCTTGCCCCCCTTGCAGAAGGGATGAGGGAAGCTGAAGATGGAACACAGTCAACACCTTGGGAACTCCCTGTTAGCAAATTGATGGCTCAGACTTAGGCTGAGCCTAAGTGACACCATGTTCACACACAAGCCCCTTCTGGCATTGCCAGTAGGAGGAAAACAGTCAAGTGCCTGGCCAGTCCCTTTCCCACTGGAACCAGTCCACCACTTGCAGGTACAAAGGCCTCTGGAGTAGCCACATCCCCAGTGGGAGCTGCTAAGCTGGTCTGCACTGCAGAAATGATAAAGGACTGATGTGGCTGGAGAAGAGGAGATGGTGGGAGAAAGCCAGAGAGAGGTGGTGACAGGATACTTCAGGCCTCCAGGGGCACCCTAGATGTTACTCTATTGTCCTGATCCCTGCCAGGAGACAGCTGAGGCACTGCCTTCATCTCCTCAGCATTTCAAAGTGAGATGGAAGAGGTCTCAATCATCCTCTTGGGAATCAGTGAAGACTCAAAGCTGGTTCAAGTTGAGGCCTTTTTTAAGGACATGTAAAAAATGGTTTGAAGTATTTTTCATCTGGTTCCAGTTTGTTTCAGCTCCTGCATGTCTTGTCTGGCTCAGAGAGAGAAGAGCACTGGAACAGCATGGCAAGTAGGGCTGCAGCCTCCTGTGCCCTCACTGGTGACGTTAGGTTGGGCTGCTCCTTGGCCTGCCCTGTCCATGTTTCACTACCCTGGGACACAGATGAATAAGAATCTTGCAGCAATCTTAGAAATGCTGGAAACAGGCATTTAAACCATGATTTTCCTACTGTTCTGGAAATCCTAGGGGAAACCAAGGCACTTCTGTAAAAGCAAGTCAAAACTAGCTCTAAAAGTGACATTAGTTTCTGGCCAGTTTGAAATAACCATTACACAGTCAAGAGGCATTTGGAATAACATCCAAATTTCACCAGCTGTTCCTCTTTGCCTCCTGACCAGCATTCAGCTACTCTGCTTCTCCCGCTGCAGAGGTGAGGAGCTGAAGGCCAGAGTGAACCCAAACACTGAGACCATGTGAAGATGCTGTGATAGAGCTGATCCTGAGCACAGCTGGGGAAAGGAGGATGTTCAAGCCAGAACAGGATCCTCGAGCAGGTACGGGATAACCAACGGGCATGAGAGAGAGAGCTGGGAAAGGCACTGCCCTTCCTGAAGGGATTAGGAGCAGCCAATACTGCTTATGTTCCCCTCAGCAAGGGCACGTGAGGACACAGCACGTAGCTAAGTAAGACTGAGGTGCGTTTTAATGTGAGTTTTGGTGAGTGAACATTCAGCCTGGGGTCTTGATTGTTCACATTATCCCCTCTTCTGCCTCCTTGGAATACAGACTCCTGATTTCAGGGGCAAATATGGCAGGCACTGTGCTGGGGATGCCCCCGGAGTCCAGGACAAGCAGTTACTCAGGTGTGTTCACATCAGACATGTTTGAGGCTGACTTTTGCCGACTTAGCAGGATGAGCAGCTGTTCTTTGGATGGGGGGGCTCAGCAAATTAAATTGCCTGGCAGGCCTGGGGCCAGCACGAGCAGAGACACCAGGGAGAGGCATGATCCAACAGCTGGGCTTCCACACACATTTCCCCTGGAACAGATCATGTTAAATCAAGGAATCTCTCTGTGTTGACACACAAACACAGGTGATGCTGACCTTGTGCAGGGGCAGCTATGTTAAATGTCCAACTAGAAATACCTGAACCATGAACTAAATCTACCCAAAGCACTAACAAACTACAATTTTGTGGCATTCAAAGCCAGCAATTGGATAAAGAAATTGGCAAGAATCCCAAAGGGTTACACAGGTGCAGTCTTAGATAAATGTCCACAGGTAAAATTAATTACCATGGAGTTCAGGGAATTGCGTTCCATATTTTTCTTCAGGTCTGAATCTAAGCAATCTCCACTGAAACATCTGGATAGGACCTGATGGTCCCCAGTTCTGACACTACTGAACAGTGCCTGTTTTCCTGAAAGAATCACAGAAAGATTTGGGTTGGAAGAGTAAAGATTATTTACTTCCAACCCCCCTGCCATAAGCAGGGATGCCACCCAGTAGATGAGGGTGCCCAGGACCCCATCCAACCTGGACTTGCACACTTTCAGGGATGGGGCATCCACAGCTTCTCTGGACAACCCATACCAGTGCCTCACCACCCTCTGCATAAAGAATTTCTTCCCAATATCTAATCTAAATCTCTCCTGTTTTAGTTTAAAACCATTCCCCCTTTTCCTGTCACTTTCTGCCCATGTAAAAAGTCAGTCTGCCTTTTTTTTTTGTAACCTCCCTCTAAATACTGAAAGGCTGCAATAAGGTCTCCCCAGAGCCTTTTCTTCTCCAGGTTGAACATTCCCAGCTCTCCCAGCCTCTGTCCATAGCAGAGGGGCTCCAACCCTTGCAGCATCTTTGTGGCCTTCTCTGGACTTGCTCCAACAGGTCCACATTTTCTTTGTGCTGAGGACTTTAAACTTGGATGTAGTACTCCAGGTAGGGTTCCACAAGGGCAGAGAAGAGTATAAAGGTATTTTCTGGAGTCCCAGTGGCTGCTGATCTCCTGTTGCCATTAATTGTGCACACCTTGGCCCAGCAGAGCATTCCAGAACTTCCAAATCTGATGTTATTCCGGTGAAAAATTCCCAAAGTCTCTGACAAGGGTGCCTTGGTGATGGCAATGTCTGACTCTGTCTGGGGGACACCTTGAAGAGGTCACCAGAGCAGACAGGCAGGTTACTGAGTCCTTGGTACATCTCTGATGAAGGGCAGTACAAAGAGAAGAAAGTTGAAACAACAAGAAACCCTTTTCTGTATGTCCATATACCATTTCTCACACTGACTGGTGTGTGGTGGGATGAATGTCAGGGTAGCAACACCCTGGAAAAGTGTGTTGCCTTGCCTGTTCTTACCTGGATAACTGGAAATTTCCAGATATGAAATTTAAGATGGGAAAGCAAAGCTGGCTATCTCATAAGACACAGAAATGGTGATATTTCTCCTTGGGTGCAAGGCAAGTTAACACAATTTAATTATTATGAAGGACAGAAATGCCCAGCAGTAACTCCAGCTGGTTCAGGGAGGACAGGGCATGAAAAATCCCAGAGGAATCCCAGTCATGAGCGGACAGTTCATGAAAGAATCCAATGGACACATAGCACAAAACATCCTACTGAGCTCCTGTTCTCCCCATGAAATTCTGAGGAGGTTCACAGAAACTGATGGTAAAGGCTCTGAGCATCCTCAGTTCTTATATTTTCTGTACCGTCTTGGGAAATTTCATCTTTTTGGACTCTTTTGAACAATATATTTGAGCAGTTCGTGCCATCTAGTGGTCACACTGATTTCCCAATCTTGGAATTTTTACAGAAAAAAAAATAAAGCCATACACAGTGGTTGTGGAGGACTGAAATAAAGGATTACAAAATCAATTTTTGAAACAAATTTTGTTCTGAAGGGACTTTTTCATCTCTTCAGAGCATCAGTGCTTTCCTTCCCCGTCCAGGGGCCCAGATAACTCCAGAACAGCTTCAAGTCTCTGATGAGAAAAGACTGGTCACTCTAAACTAAGGACATATGTGTGAACAGAACTCAGCTTACACACAAAATTCAAGCAATACTAGATGCCATCAACATAGCAAAGACTGGGTGCTCCCTCCTGCTGCTCCTGCAGCCCTGGAGAAGCCCTTTCATAGCCAAAGCTCCCATGGCACTCATAGAGGGTTTTCCTGAGCTAGTTTTAAGGTGGA